TAGAGCAAGTGGTGGTGGGAGTTTTGTCTGGATGGTGGTGGGAATTTAGACCAGGTGGTGGTGGGAGTTTAGACCGGGTGGTGGTGGGAGTTTGACCAGGTGGTGGTGAGAGGTTAGACCGTGTGGTGGTGCCCTTTTCAACCGGTGCCGTTTTCGACCGGTGCCGTTTTCAACCGGTGCCCTTTTTGACCTGTGCCCATTTCGACCGGTGCCCTTTTCGACCGGTGAACATTTTGAACGGTGCGCTTTTCGACCGGTGCGCTTTTCGACCAGTGCGCTTTTCGACCGGTGTGCTTATTGACTGGTGCCCTTCTCGATCGGTGCCCATTTCCACTGGTGCGCTCTTCGACCGGTGCGCTTTTCGACCGGTGGCCTTTATGACCGGTGCCATTTTTGACCGGTGCCGTTTTCGACCTGTGCCCTTTTCAACCGGTGCCCTTTTCGACCGGTGCCCTTTCGACCGGTGCCCTTTTCAACCGGTGCCCTTTTACATGGGTTGTTTGTGGGAGTATAAACGATTTGGTTGTGAGAGTTTAGACCGTATGGTGGTGAATGTTTAGACCAGGTGGTGGTGGGAGTTTCGTCCGGATGGTGGTGGGAATTTAGACTGGGTGGTGGTTGGATTTTTGATGGTGTGGTGGTGGGAGTTTAGACTGGGTGGTGGCAGGAGTATAAACGGGTGCTGGTTGGAGTCTAGACCAAGTGGTGGTGGGATTTTAGACTGGGTGGTGGTGGGAATTTAGACCGGTGGTAAAGGCGTTGAGACTGAGTCGTGCAGGGAGTTTTGACCGGGTGGTGTTGGTAGTTTAGACTGGGCAGTGTTGGTAGTTTAGACCGTGTGGTCGTGGGTGTTTACACGGGTTGGTTGTGGGAGTTAAGACTGTGTGGAGGTGGGAGTTTAGACCCGGTGGTGGTGGGAGTTTAGACCAGGTGGTGGTGGGAGTTTATTCCCGATGGTGGTGGGAATTTTGACCGGTAGGTGGTGGGAGTTTAGACCGGGTGATGGTGGGAGTTTAGACCGGGTGGTGGTGGTAGTTTTGACTGCGTAGTGGTGGGAGTTTAGACGAGTTGGTTTTGTGAGTTTTAACAATTTGGATTTGGGAGTTTAGACCGTATGGTGGTGGGAGTTTAGACCAGGTGGGATGGCGGTGGGTATTCAGACCGGATGGTGGTGGGATTTTAGACCGGATGGTGGTGGGAGTTTAGACCAGATGGTGGTGGGAGTTTAGACCGAATGGTGGTGAGAGTTTGGACCGTGTGGTGGTGGGAGTTTAGACCGGGTGGTGGTGGGAGTTTAGACCGGATGGTGGTGGGAGTGTAGAGTGGGTGGTGGGGGGAGTATTGATGGATGGTGGTGGGATTTTAGACCATGTGGTGGTGGGAATTTAGACCGGGTGGTGGAAGGATGTGAGACATATTCATGCTGGGAGTTTAGACCAGGTGGTGTTGGGAGTTTAGACCGGTTGGTGGTGGAAGTTTGGACCGGTTTGGCAGTTTAGACCGGGTGGTGGTGGGAGTTTAGAATGGGTGGTGGTGGGAGTATAGACGGGTGGTGGTTGGAGTCTAGACCGTGTGGTGGTGGGTTAGTAGAGCAGGTGGTGGTGGAAATTGAGACCGGCGGTGGAAGGAGTTGAGACTAAGGTGTGCTGGGAATTTAGACCGGGTGGTTGTGGGAGTTTTTTCCAGTTGGTGGTGGGAGTTTCGACCGGGTGGTGTTGGGAGATTAGACCGAGTGGTAGTGGGAGTTTAGTCCGTGTGGTCGTACGAGTTTAGACAGGTTGGTCGTGAGAGTTTAGACTGTATGGTTGTGGGTGTTGAGACTCGGTGGTGATGGGAGTTGAGAGCAAGTGGTGGTGGGAGTTTTTTCCGGATGGTGGTGGGAATTTAGACCGGGTGGTGGTGGGAGTTTAGACCGGATGGTGGTGGGAGTTTTGACCGGGTGGGGGTGGGAGTTTAGACCGGGTGGTGGTGGGAGTTTAGACCCGGTGGTGGTGCGAGTTTAGACCGGGTGGTGGTGGGAGTTTAGACCGGGTGGTGGTGGGAGTTTGGACCAGGTGGGGGTGGGAGTTTAGACCGAGTGGTGGTGGGTGTTTCAATCGGATGGTGTTGGGAGTGTGGACTGGGTTGTGGTGGGAGTTTAGACCGGGTGGTGGTGGGAGTTTAGACCCGGTGGTGGTGCGAGTTTAGACCGGGTGGTGGTGGGAGTTTAGACCGGGTGGTGGTGGGAGTTTGGACCAGGTGGGGGTGGGAGTTTAGACCGAGTGGTGGTGGGTGTTTCAATCGGATGGTGTTGGGAGTGTGGACTGGGTTGTGGTGGGAGTTTAGACCGGGTGGTGGTGGGAGTTTAGACCCGGTGGTGGTGCGAGTTTAGACCGGGTGGTGGTGGGAGTTTAGACCGGGTGGTGGTGGGAGTTTGGACCAGGTGGGGGTGGGAGTTTAGACCGAGTGGTGGTGGGTGTTTCAATCGGATGGTGTTGGGAGTGTGGACTGGGTTGTGGTGGGAGTATCGGCGAATGGTGGTGGGAGTTTAGACCATGTGGTGGTGGGATTTTAGACCGGGTGGTGGTGGGATTTTAGACCGGGTGGTGGTGGGAATTTAGACCGGGTGGTGGAAGGAGTTGAGACTGAGTCTTGCTAGGAGTTTAGACTAGGTGGTGTTGGGTGTTTAGACCGGTTGGTGGTGGGAGTTTAGACCGGTTTGGCCGTTTAGACCGGGTGGTTGTGGGAGTTTAGACTAGGTGGTGGTAGTAGTAAAGACGGGTGGTGCTTGATGTCTAGACTGTGTGGTGGTGGGATTTTAGACCGCGTGGTGGTGGAGGTTTAGACCGGTGGTGAAAGGATTTGACCGCGTGGTTGTGGGAGTTCTATCTAGTTGGTGGTGGGAGTTTCGACCGGCTGGTGTTGGGAGTTTAGACCGGGTGGTGATGGGAGTTTAGAGCAAGTGGGTAAACGCTTAGGATACCATAACTTCCCACACACCTGGGTTTTGCATCCGAGCACAGGCCAGCATGCTCTTGAGCCCATATACTAACCATGCATGCAAAAATCAAGATGTTTGAGCACGCTCAATAGCAAGATAACCAAGTTGAGGTCTCGTAGGAAAATGCTCAAGTACGAGAAAAAGGAACACATACAATACCATTACTTTTTGCACACTTAGGTTTTGGATCTGAGCACAAGCCACGATTATCTTGAGCCCATGCACTAACTGTTCACGCAAAACAAGGGCTTAGAAATTGCTATGTCTCTGAAAAACAAAATGAACAGTTGAGGTTTTGTTGGGCAATGCTCAAGTGTTTAGACATGGGACAATAGTTGACATACTATAACTTCCCAACCACATGGATTTTGGATCTGAGCACAAGCCATGATGCTCTTGAGGCCATACACTAGCTATGTATGCAAAGGGAAATAGTTTTAGTGAACAAGATCCTAAATGAAAAATCATGTTGTTGTTTGGTGGGGTACCACTCAAGAACTCAGACATGCGAAAACGCTTGAGATACCATAACTTCCCACACACCTGGGTTTTGCATCCGAGCACAGGCCAGCATGCTCTTGAGCCCATACACTAACCATGCGTGCAAAAATCAAGATGATTGAGCACGCTCAATAGCAAGATAACCAAGTTGAGGTCTCGTAGGAAAATGCTCAAGTACTGGAAAAAGGAACACATACAATACCATTACTTTTTGCACACTTAGGCTTTGGATCTGAGCACAAGCCACGATTATCTTGAGCCCATGCACTAACTCTTCATGCAAAACAAGGGCTTAGAAATTGCTTTGTGTCTGAAAAAAAATATGAAAAGTTGAGGTTTTGTTGGGCAATGCTCAAGTGTTTAGACATGGGACAATAGTTGACATACTATAACTTCCCAACCACTTGGATTTTGGATCTGAGCACAAGCCATGATGCTTTTGAGGCCATACACTAGCTATGAATGTAAAGGAAAAGAGTTTTAGTGAACAAGATCCTAAATGAAAAATCATGTTGTTGTTTGGTGGGGTACCACTCAAGAACTCAGACATGCGAAAACGCTTGAGATACCATAACTTCCCACACACCTGGGTTTTGCATCCGAGCATAGGCCAGCATGCTCTTGAGCCCATACACTAACCATGCATGCAAAAAGCAAGATGTTTGAGCACGCTCAATAGCAAGATAACCAAGTTGAGGTCTCGTAGGAAACTGCTCAAGTACTGGGAAAAGGAACACATACAATACGATTACTTTTTGCACACTTAGGCTTTGGATCTGAGCACAAGCCATGATGATCTTGAGCCCATGCACTAACTGTTCATGCAAAACAAGGGCTTAGAAATTGCTTTGTATCTGAAAAACAAAATGAGAAGTTGAGGTTTTGTTGGGCAATGCTCAAGTGTTTAGTTGTGGGACAACAGTTGACATACTATAACTTCCCAACCACTTGGATAATGTATCTGAGCACAAGCCATGATGCTCTTGAGGCCATACACTAGCTATGTATGCAAAGGGAATGAGTTTTAGTGAACAAGATCCTAAATGAAAAAACAGGTTGCTGTTTGGTGGGGTACCACTCAAGAACTTGGACATGCGAAAACGCTCGAGATACCATAACTTCCCAAACACATGGGTTTTGCATCCGAGCACAGGCCAGCATGCTCTTGAGCCCATACACTAACCACGCATGCAAAATGCAAGATGTTTGAGCACGCTCAATAGCAAGATAACCAAGTTGAGGTCTCGTAGGAAAATGCTCAAGTACTGGAAAAAGGAACACATACAATACCATTACATTTTGCACACTTAGGTTTTGGATCTGAGCACAAGCCACGACTGTCTTGAGCCCATGCACTAACTGTTCATGCAAAACAAGGGCTTAGAAAATGTTTTGTATCTGAAAAACAAAATGAAAAGTTGAGGTTTTGTTGGGCAATGCTCAAGTGTTTAGTCATGGGACAATAGTTGACATACCATAACTTCCCAACCACTTGGATTTTGGATCTGAGCACAAGCCATGATACTCTTGAGGCCATACACATGCTCTTGATGCTCTTTCACGCACTGTCAAACCATATGTGCAAGTTGAAAACATGGGATGGGAGGCAGACAGAATGTGATAGCATATGATGACATCACACAAGAATCTCCCCCTCTGGCTGCCAACCATCATCCACCATATCACATCGCAAGCATGCATACTCAATGCACACTCATCTCAGCAAGCTTCATGCCCTTCCAATGATTCTCCTCCGCCAGACGCTTAGTGAAAATATCTGCTGCCTGCTGATGGGTCTTCCCTATCTCCAGCCGCACCTCCTTATCAAGGAGTCTCCTTACCCAATGCCACTTAGGCCTTATGTGTTTTGTCAGCCCATGCAGACAAGCATTCTTGGCCAGCTTCACTGCAGACTCATTGTCACAGAAGACAACTGTCGGCTCCTCCTGACCAACTCCCAACTCCTCCAACAAGCGCCTCAGCCACACCACTTCCTTGGCCCCATGGTGTAAGGCCATGTACTCAGTCTCACATGAGAACAATCCCACCTCATTCTGCTTCTTGCTGCGCCAGCTCACAGCACCACCTCCCAGCAAGCACACATAACCCCCAATGCTGGTGCCATCCGCTTTCACTGAGTTGAAGCTAGCGTCAGTACCTTAGGCTGAGGAATTGCAGCCCAATAGCACAATGCAATCTCATCTTCCTCAATCTGCTCAACCACACTCCCAGCCTGCACCACATTCGGCTTGCCTCTTCCCCCATAGGTCAGCCTCACCGGAGGGCGCACATCCCTCCTAGATCGCTCAGGCGGGTGTGGAACTCGAGGTGGAGACTCATGCTGTTGCTGCTGCTGCTCCACTTCAGCTGCTCCCCCTTCCTCAGTCACCCCAGACATCTCCTCCTCAGACACTGCAACCTCCACCTGTCTTGAAGGCCTGCCTCCACAATGAGCGGTGTAGATGGAAGCTTCTGTTGCTGCTGCTTCCATTCCTTGTAGTACAGGGACTCCAGAAACTTCACATCCCTTGACACTGTCAACTTCTGGGTGGTCAAGTCCCATAGCAGCCACCCCTTGTGATCCTTTGCAATCCCCAAGTGCACACCCCATCTTCCAGAAGCCTCCAACTTCCCCCTTTTCTCCTTAGGCACATGAAACACCACATGGCACCCAAATGCCCTCAGCATGTTCACAGCTGGAGCACTCCCATACCACTTGGTATATGGGATCCACTCCTTATCCCCAACTGTAGCCACCACCCTGTTCTTCACAAGGGCGACCTGCCTCAGTGCAGACACCCAAAATGGATCAGGCAGCCCTGCACGCCCAAGGAGAGTGCGTGCCCCCTCCTACAGGGTCCTGTTGAACCTCTCAGCAACGCCATTCTGCTGCGGGTTGTAGGGCACTGTCAATTGATGTTGGATCCCCTTCCTCTTCAACTCCCCCTCAAAATCAGCTCCAATGAACTCCCCACCATTATCACTGCGGATCACCTTCACCTTGTGTCCGCATTCCCTCTGAGCTCTAGGCATCCACTCCTTAAGGACAGCCGCTGCCACCTCCCCTTTGCTCTTCAAAGGGTAAACCCACACTGCCCGAGTGTGGTCATCCACAATTGTCAAGAAATAGCGGCTGCCTGAGAGGGAAGGGGCTCTTGTGGGCCCCACCACATCCATGTGCACAAGTGCAAGTGGGGTCTTGGCTGGTCCTGTAGTGCTGTTGAAGGGGAACTTGGAGAACTTGGTCTCCAAGCATGTAGGGCAGCTCCCAATCTCCTTCACTCCTCCCTTGACCTCCAAGCCCTTCAGGCTCCCGTCCTTCACCAATTTCTGCAGCATAGGGAAGTTCACATGACACAGCCTCTCATGCCATGTCTCCCAATCGGCCTCTCCACCCCTTGATGAAGCCTTAGCCCATGCCGCACTCGCATCCACACCAGCAAGCACCTCACCATGTGTCTGCTGCTGCTGCACTTTCTTAACTGCTTCCAGGACCCCATCAGTTGGTGCAGTTGCATCTCCTCCTGCTGTTGCCTTTGCCGCTGTTGCCGTTACTGCTGTTGGATTTTGCCCATTCCAAAGGATGATGGGCAGCTGCCACAGGTCCTTGATGCAGCTGGTCTCCTCTTTCAGACTCCACAGCACCTTCTTCCCAAGCTTAGCACGGCAGCTGGTTGGTCCAAAGGTCACTTCGGCCTTGCTCTTCTGCAGTCGCCGCACAGAGAGAAGGTTAGCACACAAACCTTCAACCAGCAGAACATTCCCAAGCCCCACAAGCTCCCCATTAGCTCCCTTAACCTTGGCATTCCCAACACCAATCACAGGGAGCAAAACACCTGACGCTGCTGCCACATACTTAATCTTTCCAGGGGGTTTTACCTCATCAAGCATATCTGCCCGTGGGGTCATGTGACTGGTGCAACCTGAATCAATCACCCAGTGCGTGAGAGGGTGCATCACAACCTTTCCTACAGATCCCACATCACCCTCATGCCCATGCACATCCTCAACCATGAGAAACATCCCAAGATAGGTATTACCTTGTGCACCTTCACCTTGTGCACCTGAGCCTTGCACAGCGCCACCTTGTGCGCGTTCACCATTTGGCGGCTACATGCCTGGAGGTGCCCATCCCTCCGGCCTGCTGAAGCACTTGAACCAAGGATGTCCGACCTTCTTGCAGTACCTGCAGGTGCCCTCCATTCTGGTACTCCCCCTACCACCAGAACTCCCATGCCCATGCACATCCTCATACCCCTCAGCAGTCTTAGTGGCAGCACCGCCTCCCACATGGCGTCTGCGGAAGTCCTCCTGCAAAATCTGCTGCCTTAGCCACTCAGGTGTCCATTGATCTTGCTGAGAGTTGAGGGTGGGGATGAGGTTGTCCCAAGAGTTGTCCAACACCGAGATGATCTTGGTGCACTGCTGCAGCTGAGATACACTGCTGCCCGCTGCTGCCATCCTTGCATAGGTGTCCTTGATCTTGTCAAGGACCGGCTTCACATCGTCCCCTGGTCGCATGGAGATGGCAGCAAGTTCCTTCTCGAGCACGATCACCATCGGGAGAGTGTTGTAGTTTCCATGCCCTTGGACCTGAATCATCCGCTTCCACAAGATCCTTGATGTGCTCGAACATCTCCTTGTTGACCGATTGAAGGATGAGGTCAAAAAGCACCGCGCTTTTCTCAATCCACCGCTCACGTGCTTCGCCTTCTTCCGGCATCTTCTCCTCCCCAACAGCAATCTTCAGTAGCTTGTAGCGTTTGAAGGCACTCCTCATCCGCCCGCTCCATTCCTCATAGTTGGAGCCATCCAAAGCTTCAACTTTTGATGGCGGCTGCTCACTTGTCTTCTCAGGTACAGCTCCTCTTCCATTAGCATCTCCTCCTCTCTCATTCATCTTCTCCTTGAGAAATGACGAATTTCAGCTCCCCTTTGCTGTCCACACTCAGCTCCCTCGATATTTTCACACGTGTCGGCGTCCACGAAATTTCGGCAGAGTTTCCCCTTAGCGGAAGACACATCCAACCTTTAGAACACCACTTAGGCACACCCACAGGCCATGGTAGGTCTAGAAAAGTCTTCAAACTTCTGTAGACTCCTCTTAATGTCCTTAATATCGCTCTGATACCACTTGTTAGGATTAAGGACGGAGTCTAGGTGAACTTTGGAGCTAGAATTACTCAAAATATAAATCCGAAATTCTGGACAGAAAAGTCGTCTTCACAAGAAACGATGTCGACAAAAAACTAGCCGTTTGAATGTCACGAAAATCGGATATGTTGTAGCTTGTAATCTTAGCTACCGTTCGCAATTTGAATCATGTCGATTGATGGAGTATTCGGGACGCTATGTCTTTCGACGCAGTGGCGGGTAAGCTGTAGGAGGAGAACTTAACTCAATCTCAAAAAGTTCAATCAAAGTTCAAGAATCTCACAAGGAATTGGAGGAGCAAGAGAAAGGTTGGGATGGAAGAGAGGGATGAGAGAAGAGGTCCCAAGAGAGTCCCCAACCAAGGAAACCCCATAAGCACAAAGATTCCCCCCCCTATAGGAACCCCAACTTTGACATTTGTCCCTTCCCAACCAATCCAACCAAGTTGGCCACCCTTGCCAACCTAGCTTGGTTGTTCCCAACCAATTTTGAAGCTGCTACAGTAGAGTGACGAATTTCCCCAACTCCCAATAGTCACAACTCCATATAGAGTCACCCCACAACTTAACTTTGTAACCGCCGCAATTGTAACACAAGCTCATGAACTTTGAATCTTCATAGCTTTCGCATTCTTGCTCCGATTGAAGCGATTCTTGTTGCGTCCGAAAGATCTTCTCAAGATCTATCATCGCAAAATACCTGCTCATTCAAAAAAAACACAAAACACATTCCCAAACTCCAGAACACACCACACACAAATTCTTTCATGCACTGTCAAATCATACGTGCAAGTTGAAAACATGGGATGGGAGGCAGACAGAATGTGATAGCATATGATGACATCACACAGCAAAGCGAACACGAAGCTAAGCGAAGCTAATCGAAGCGAAGCTAAGCGAAGCGAACACAAAGCTAAGCGAAACTAAAAGAAGCGAAGAGAAGCGAAGCGAAGCTAAGCAAAGCGAAGCGAAGCTAAGCGAAGCTAAGAGAAGCGAAGAGAAGCTAAGCGAAGTGAGGCGAAGCTAAGCGAAGCTAAGGGAATCGAAGTGAAGCTAAGCGAAGTTATGCGAAGCGAAGCGAAGCTAAGCGAAGCGAAGCTAATCGAAGCGAAGCTAAGCGAAGCAAAGCTAAGCGAAGCGAAGCAAAGAGAAGCAAAGAGAAGCAAAGCGAAGAGAAGCGAAGCTAAGAGAAGCAAAGCAAAGCTAAGCGCAGCTATGCAAAGCGAAGCAAAGCTAAGCGAAGGTAAGGGAAGCGAACTGAAGACAAGGGAAGCGAAGCTAAGCGAAGCGAAGTGAAGCGAAGAGAAGCAAAGAGAAGCGAAGCGAAGCTAAGTGAAGCTAAGTGAAGCTAAGCGAAGCGAAGAGAAGCATAGAGAAGCGAAGCGAAGCTAAGAGAATCAAAGCGAAGCTAAGCGCAGGTATGCGAAGCGAAGCGAAGCTAAGTGAAGCTAAGCGAAGCGAAGCGAAGCTAAGGGAAGCGAGCCGAAGCTAAGGGAAGCGAAGCGGAGCTAAGCGAAGCGAAGCGAAGCTAAGCGAAGCTAAGCGAAGCGAAGCAAAGCAAAGTGAAACGAAGCAAAGCTAAGCGAAGCGAAGCGAAGCTAAGCGAAGCTAAGAGAAGCAAAGCGAAGCTAAGAGAAGCTAAGCAAAGCTAAGCGAAGCTAAGCGAAGCGAAGCGAAGCTAAGCGAAGCGAAGGGAAGCTTAGCAAAGCGAAACGAAGGTAAGCAAAGCAAAGCGAAGCTAAGCAAAGCGAAGCGAAGGTAAGCGAAGCAAAGCGAAGCTAAGCAAAGCGAAGCGAAGCGAAGCGAAGCGAGGCTAAGCGAAGCGAACAGGAAGCTAAGCGAAGCGAAGCAAACAGGAAGCTAGGCGAAGCTAAGCGAAGCGATGCGAAGCGAAGCGAAGCTAAGGGAAGCTAAAGGAAGCGAAGCGAAGCTAAGGGAAGCGAAGCCAAGCGAAGCGAAGCGAAGCGAAGCGAAGCGAAGCGAAGCGAAGCGAAGCGAAGTGAAGCAAAGCGAAGCGAGGCTAAGCGAAGCGAAGCGAAGCTAAGGGAAGCAAAGAGAGGCTAAGCGAAGCAAAGCGAAGAGAATCGAAAAGAAGCGAAGCGAAGCTTAGAGAAGCGAAGCGAAGATATGCGAAGCGAAACGAAGCTACGCGAAGCAAAGGAAAGCTAAGCGAAGCTAAACGAAGCGAATCTAAGCAAAGCTATGCGAAGCGAAGCTAAGCGAAGCTAAGCTAAGCTAAGCGAAGCAAAGCAAAGCTAAGCGAAGCTAAGCGAAGCGGAGCGAAGCTCAGCAAAGCGAAGCGAAGCTAAGCGAAGCTAAGCGAAGCTAAGCGAAGCGAAGCAAAGCGAAGCTAAGCTAAGCTAAGCGAAGCGAAGCGAAGAGAAGCGAAGAGAAGCAAAGCGAAGCTATGCGAAGTTAAGCGAAGCTAAGCGAAGCTATTAGAAGCAAAGCGAAGAGAAGCGAAGCGAAGCGAAGCGAAGCGAAGCGAAGCTAAGCGAAACTAAGCGAAGCGAAGCGAAGCTAAGCGAAGCGAAGAGAAGCATAGAGAAGCGAAGCAAAAAGAAGCGAAGCTAAGAGAAGCAAAGCGAAGCTAAGCGCAGGTATGCGAAGCAAAGCGAAGCTAAGCGAAGCTAAGCGAAGCGAAGCGAAGCTAAGGGAAGCGAACCGAAGCTAAGGGAAGCGAACCGAAGCTAAGGGAAGCGAAGCGAAGCTAAGCGAAGTGAAGCGAAGCTAAGCGAAGCGAAGTGAAGCTCGGCGAAGCTAAGCAAAGCAAAGCGAAGCTAAGCAAAGCTAAGCGAAGCAAAGTGAAGCTAAGCGAAGCGAAGCGAAGCTAAGCGAAGCGAAGCGAAGCTAAGCGAATCTAAGCAAAGCTAAGCGAAGCGAAGCTAAGCGAAGCGAAGCGAAGCTAAGCGAAGCTAAGCGAAGCTAAGCGAAGCAAAGTGAAACGAAGCAATGCTTAGCAAAGCGAAGCGAAGCAAAGCTAAGCGAAGCTAGGCGAAGCTAAGCAAAGCAAAGCGAAGCTAAGCGAAGCGAGGCTAAGCGAAGCGAACAGGAAGCTAAGCGAAGCGAAGCGAAGCGAAGCGAAGCTAATCGAAGCGCAACTAAGGGAAGCAAGCATGAAGCTAAGCGAAGCTAAGCGAAGCAGAGCGAAGCTAAGCGAAGCGAAGTGAAGAGAAGCTAAGCGAAGCGAACACGAAGCTAAGCGAAGCGAACACGAAGCTAAGCGAAGCTAATCGAAGCGAAGCTAAGCGAAGCAAACACGAAGCTAAGCGAAGCTAAAAAAAGCGAAGAGAAGAGAAGCGAAGCTAAGCGAAGCTAAGAGAAGCAAAGCTAAGAGAAGTAAAGCGAAGCTAAGCGAAGTGACGCGAAGCTAAGCGAAGCGAAGAGAAGCGAAGCGAAGCAACGCGAAGCTATGCGAGGCGAAGCAAAGCTTAGCGAAGCAAAGCAAATCTAAGCAAAGCTAAGCGAAGCTAAGCAAAGCTAAGAGAAGCTAAGCGAAGCGAAGCAAAGCGAAGCGAAGCTAAGCGAAGCGAAGAGAAGCATAGAGAAGCGAAGCGAAAAGAAGCGAAGAGAAGCAAAGGGAAGCTATGCGAAGTGAAGCAAAGCTAAGCGAAGCTATTAGAAGCAAAGCGAAGAGAAGCAAAGCGAAGCTATGTGAAGCGAAGCGAAGCAAAGCAAAGCTAAGCGAAGCGAAGCTAAGAGAAGCTTAGCAAAGCGAAGCGAAGCTAAGCGAAGCGAAGCGAAGCTAAGCGAAACTAAGCGAAGCGAAGCGAAGCTAAGGGAAGCGAAGAGAAGCATAGAGAAGCGAAGCAAAAAGAAGCGAAGCTAAGAGAAGCAAAGCGAAGCTAAGCGCAGGTATGCGAAGCGAAGCGAAGCTAAGCGAAGCTAAGCGAAGCGAAGCGAAGCTAAGGGAAGCGAACCGAAGCTAAGGGAAGCGAACCGAAGATAAGGGAAGCGAAGCGAAGCTAAGCGAAGTGAAGCCAGCAACACCACTACCTCAGGGTACTGTGGAGCCAGTGCTGATGAGGAGGTAGTGGGTGAGAGTGAAGGAAGCTGTTCACGATGGTTGGGTCGCTGAATGCTGCAAATCATACACGGCTGACAGCATTTCTACATCACGGTGGCTAGTGGGTCTCACGCCTAGCATGAGCAGCTGGAAGCGGCCAAGAGGTGGCCGCTATGTGAGTGCTACGGCATCAGTGGATGGAGTAAGTGGAGTAGCAAGCGGTTGCAGAGAGGTGCTGCAGATGTGAAGAGTGGAAAGATGCTCTTGAGTGCTATACTGACGCTAGCTCAACTCAGTGAAAGCGGATGGCACCAGCATGGGGTTATGTGGCTTGCTAGGAGTGGTGCTGTGAGCTGGCGCAGCAAGAAGCAGAATGAGGTGGGATTGTCTTCATGTGAGACTGAGTACATGGCCTTACACCATGGGCAAGGAAGTGGTATGGCTGAGGCGTTGTTGGAGGAGTTGGGAGTTGGTCAGGAGAGCCGACAGTTGTGTTCTGTGACAATGAGTCTGCAGTGAAGCTGGCCAAGAATGCTTGTCTGCATGGGCTGACAAAACACATAAGCCTAAGTGGCATTGGGTGAGGAGAATCCTGATAAGGAGGTGCGGCTGGAGATAGTGAAGACCATCAGCAGGCAGCAGATATTTTCACTAAGCGTCTTGCGGAGGCGGATCATTGGAAGGCATGAAGCTTGCTGGATGAGTGTGCATTGAGTATGCATGCTTGAGATGTGGTATGGTCGATGATGGTTGGCAGCCAGAGGGGAGATTGTTGTGTGATGTCATCATATGCTATCACATTCTGTCTGCCTCCATCCCATGTTTTTTCAACTTGCATGTGTGGTTTGAATGTGCAAGCATTTGTGTGTGGTGTGTTCTGGAGTTTGGGAATGTGTTTTGTGTTATTCTGTCTGAGCAGGTATTTGTGATAATAGATCTTGAGAAGATCTTTCCGACGC